CCCCAGTGACCCTCCCAAATGTCCCACTCTGCCTATCCCCTTGTGGTGCACCCATCCCATGCACACAGGGCTCAAGAGAATGGCTCGGGGGTCTCCCATGGGGACATCCCTGGAAAACTGTGCCCTCCAGCCAGCCCATCCTGGGCTCTCAGAGCTGGGGGAGGGCAGCCCCTTGTCCAGGGTGGGCCGGGAAGGGGACCCTAGCACTCACCAAAGTCGCTGGAGCACATCTGCTCCATCATGCCGTCTGCCTTATGCTCCATCTCGCACTGGGTGCAGATCTTGGACACTGCGGTGAGAGACCAGCCACTGTCACAGCTCCCTGCTGCTGACGCCTGTCACCTGGGCCAGCTCCACCGGGATATGCTGGGAGAGCCCCAGCAGCCCCTCTGCTCCCTGGGCAGCTGTGTCGGGGTGATGCTGGGGGCACAGACCACCTCGCTGGCCAGCATCCCAGCACCCCCACAGGAGGGATGGGGTATAGGGACATCTCTCGTCCAGCTGCCGATGCTTTGGGGCACTGCAGCAGCAGCAGCAGCAGCAGCCCGGGTGGCCCCAGCCCAAAGGGTGTCACAGCCCTGATCCTGACCCTGGGCTGCTTTTGGGTGATGTCCCCTCCACCTGCCTGATGGGACAGCCACCCCGTGGCAGCAGCATGGGGCCGATACCCACAGGTGCAGGATGCTAGATGCTCTTTGCTGCTGGGATGGGACCCAGCGGGAGGAGAGGGACACAGCTCTGCCACAGGTCCAGTGCCACAGCTGCCAGCAGCTCCCACCTCATCCCCAGCCCTGCTCCCGTGGCTGTTCTGCTCTCCCCAGCCAGGCAGCTGTGTGCCTGGCTCCCCTGGGGCCAGCCTGTCCTGGCTCCCCAGACAGTGAGTGGTGCCCAGCCAAAGCAGCTGATGCCACTGTTACTGTGCCCACTTGTGCCCTGCTGCAGATAGAGAGTCCTTGGCCAGTGCCAGCACCCCAGGCCCTGCTTCGAAGGGTGCAGGGATGGGGATGTGGGGGCTCTGCAGGGAGACACCACATGCAGGTCCCTGGCTGCATGGGGACACACTGCTGGCAGGTGCCCTGCATGCGTCCCCATCCCATCGCAGTGCCCTTCCCGCTTACCTGGCGGTGGGGTGGCCTTGCTGTTCCCAAACTGGACGGCGATGCAGAGCTCGTGGTCGGAGGGGAACTTGCCACAGTGCAGCATCTCAGGCCAGGGGAAGCCATAGGACTCCATGACGGGGGCACAGGAGTCACGTACCACCTCGCAGAGGGACCGGCAGGGGTAGACGGGCCGGTCGAGGCAGACGGGGGCGAAGAGGGAGCAGAGGAAGAGCTGAGTGTCGGTGTGGCACTGCTTGGCGAGCAGGGGCACCCAGCTGCTGGCCTGCTGCTTGGCCTCGGCCAGGGTCTCGTGCTCCAGCAGGTTGGGCAGCCGCATGCGCTTGTAGCCCACGTCGTGTCAGAGCTGCATGTCGGGTGGGATGTCGAGGCACTGTGGCTCCCGCCCGTAGAAGCGCCCCTGGGGCAGGCCCTCGGGCTGCCAGCCGTAGGAGCCGTAGTGCCGCCCGCT